GTCTCCTCCTACTGTGCTTGCCGCTTCTTCCTTCGTCTCCTCCACAGAGGGTGGAGGCTTCGTGATCCCCTGCACCCTCGCCGAGGCCAGCCTGTGCATGAACTCCTCCTTCTCCAGTAAATCCTTCCAATCCACCCCACGCTCCTCCAACTCCGCCTTGATCTCCTTTATTTTCATGGGCTTGATCGCTGTCAGCTCGGCGGCCAGCTTGGTAGCGTCGACCTCCTTCCCTGTCTCTGCTGCTGCACCGGCTGCTCTGAGCAGCGCACTCCCCCGCTTAAAAAAAGACCCCACCGGTCTTCTGCGGCTGCTTACATCAAGCGTCGACATCGCCCGTGCCTGAAAAATACGAGAGCAGACGGTATCTATCGTCAAATATGAGCCTCAACTTCATCTGGAGCTGAACATGCGGTGGGCTCAATCGAGACGTGGGTGCACGACTTGTACACACATGAAGCGGCCTGAGACTTGTCTGGTGTCTTTCTTACTGCTAAAAGAACATGCGCTCGAAACTTAACCCTATAAGATAATCAGTCCGCTCTCGAAGTAGAAAGCTTCGATATCAGACGGCGCGACCTGCACATCCTGCTAAAGTCTTTTTAAAAAATGATGCTTGTGAAATGACCTGGTAACGTACCGACTGGGGGAGCCGCTGCGGATAAATCACACTGCCGCAAGATTCCCACGGCCGCAATGGGACTGTGAAAGCGGACGATAATGTGCCGCTGCATATCAATATGATCGCTCCAAGGTGCCTTCGTCGCATTGTACCTTGTGAAAAGGGTTTGGAGGTGCCACGGGTGTGTGACGTGTAAGGCAGAGGATATCATGAAGATAACACGCCGGACAGGAAATGCGGAAAAGTTGTACCTAGCGCTTGAATAAGCAGTAGCATACGTTCCTACACGCATCGCACTCACAAGGCCACATGAAACACAAAAGATGCCCGGGAAGCTATGCGGGAACGGCGTAGCTTCTGGAACGCCGTGTCCTGCCGTCGCAGGGTTCGCTTCCCCTCTTCTCCGTCCTTTTTTCTCCTTTCGCGCCAAAAATCAAAACTCGGGCTATTCCCTCGGAGCGCTTAGGCCCCGGGTGGTGGTACAAAAGGCTCAGCTGCCAATGGAAGCGTATACGGGGCAAGAAAATACGACGTACGATTTCTTTCAAGCGTTACACAACAAAAGTGAGGAAAAAACAACGTTGAATCCTTTTCTTGTGCATTTTTCGTGCTGCTGGAACCTGAGTCAGTCGGCTTTGTGCCCATGACATGGCATCAAAGCGGCTGCAACTAATGAACGAAGAAACAACATACTCCTATAGCAGCTGTTGCCACCTTCCTTTCTCCAACTAAAATTTTACGACTTTGTCCAATTACATGAGTGTGAAAGTACCTCCGGGAGGTGAGAGCGAGTCTGAGGGTGCAAGTGCGCGTTCATCTTCTACTCCACGTTCGATCGATCGTCGTACTGACTACTTGGGAAAAGCAATCTTACGCGCTCATACAGATTTTTCCTTTTGTTTTGGTGGACATACTGCACAATCATGAAAGATGTCAAAAGTTGCTTCGAAAGCACCTTTTGACGGTGCTCGGGCCTCGGCTAGTCCTTGCCTCAGCCGTTGGCGCCTCGCTGCTTGTTCACCTCAAAACCGCCCCACCTCCTGAGTCATGCTATAGCCTCCAAATAACATGCCTTGGTGCCCAATAAGAAATAAAATTTGTGCGCTGGGAAGAGAAATAGTTTACCAATGTCGCGTATGGCCAAATGTGGTGGAAGACGTCATAAGTAAACTCTACTTGGTTTAGACCGACGGCCGGTCCCGGGGCAGGAAAAATATCAAATATTTGAACTTCGTTCGTAAAAGTACAGAGATCTCCACCAATTTGCCACGATAGAAAGTCGTGCTCTCTGACTGACAGATTGCATGAATACGACAAAATGAACTTTGCATATCTATCAATGGTCTAGTGTAAGCATCTGTGAGCCCTGTAAAATGGTCTCGGCTCGCAAATGTGTAATAACACCCTTTTATTTTATCCGATGTTCAGCTTACTGATAAGCTTCACCCCATTGAACTCTCAACGAATTACGAAAGTGTGAGCGATGTCTTTCTGTCCCCCCCTGGGACGATCGCTGTGATGCCTAGATTTGTTTGCATCAAAGACCACACACCGTCTGGTCGTACAGTGTAGACGCGACGGAAAGTGTCCAAGCTATTAGATGTGCTTCACTGCATTAGCACTGATTGTGGTTGCACAAGCGATGCTTCTCACAGATATTCATCGCCATCTCTGATACATGCTATGAAGTTGACTCTTCTTGAAATAAATGACTCAGGACAAGCACCACGCTACAGGAAACGACGCTGCAGCCTTTTCAGGCGAACGCGCAAGTTTACTGGTGAAGATTAGGGTTGTCGACTGGCATTGGAGTAAGAGGAGAGATGAGCAAGACCGTTTTCGTGGTGAGTGGTGGACGCACTCCTCCCTGAGAGTTGCGTTTGACGGTATGGAATACAACTGTCGAAAATACCTGTCGCAATGTTTCGGTTGCGGAGAGTGTGGATATGTGCACACGTTACACACGCGACATTTCGAGAACGCGATCACCGTCCTGTCAAGCTGACATGGGTGTCCTGACAGATTCAATCTTCTTTCAACGTTTCTTCAACTTTTAGGGTAATCTATCATGGGGCACCACCGCAGACAGTCTGACAGCCATCATGGAGACAGCCGGTCGTGTGTTGGGCGTCGAAGTCCAAGCACATAGTGACACGGGCCGCTCCAAGGGGTGGGCGTAAGTGTGATTGGGGATTTTCTGGAAGCAGTGAGGATATTGCCAAAAAGTGCGCGATTTCCCTGCCTTCATCGCTAAGTGTTTCCCGTCCTGGCTTCTTCCCCCTTTCTCCCTCGCTCCCCCCTGTTCTGCACGCCAGCCTCGTCACATTTGAGACAGCAGAGGATGCGAGCAGAGCGATGGAGCTACTGTGTGGACGGGAGGTGGAAGGTCGGCCGTTGTACGTCCGAGAGGACCGAACCGAGATTGAGAAGGAGGAGGGATTCGTCGTATTTGTAAGTCGCACGTGCATGCACCCCAGGAGAAGGAGAGCTTGAGGGGAGGACATCGAAGACGGGGACTGGATCCCCACTTTTATTGTAAGAACGGCCTATCCAGTGCCTTCACATCGGCTTCACTTTCTTTTCTAATTTGCTTTTCCTCTCCTCCCGCCGATGCTGTCAGGTGGGGAATCTGCCCTGGGACATGACGGCGAGCGGGCTGCGGACCGTCTTCAGCGAGTTCAGCCCCTACGACGTACACATCAAGACCAACATGTCCGGGCGCTCCCGAGGCTTTGGCCTTCTACGCTTCCGGTCCTCGGAGGAAGCACAACGCGCCATCGAGCAGATGCACGGGATAACGGTCCAAGAGCGGAAGATTCTTGTCCGCTTGGACCGGGCGCATCTGGAGATGATGGGCCACAGCCCTGCGACCATGGAGGCAAGCGACACCGTCACCTGCGGAAACATTCCGTGGCACACGGGGGACGAGGTCTTGGCCTGTCACATGGCGCAGGCGGGGAGGGTGGTCTCGTGTCAGATCCAACGGCACGCGGATACCCTGCGGAGCAAGGGTTGGGCGTAAGTGGAGGGGAGGAGGAGCTGATCGGACAGGGCGGAGGACAAGAGGGTTAAGACTCCTGAGTGGAACTTGCTGTGGCTGTCACGCTAGGCTTAGACGTGGACCCCGCCCGAAAGTGTGCGGCTGCTCGTCTCGGCGGCCGTCAACCTTCGGGCCATCTACCAAGAATACTCAATGAAGCATACCATCCTCCCACCCTGCAGGATCATCCGCTACGTCACAGTTGAGGAGGGCACGAACGCGGTCCGCTCCCTGCATCGGACTGTCCTGGACGACCGGACCCTCAACGTGCGCTTCTACCGGCCAAACAAGACGGTGGTAGAGGGGGACGCGGCCACCTCGGGCTTCCCCTCCGCGTACGCAGTGGCGCCTTTGGGAGGAGAGCGAGGGGGCGGGGCGGAGAGGGGGATGAGGAGCAGGAGGATGATTCAGGGACCAAGTGATGGGATGGGCGGGAACCTGGCGATGAATGGCGGGCGAGGGGGGATGCTCGGTTACGACCTGTACCAACAGCAGCACGTGCCCTTGCAGCACATGCACGCACACCAGCACTTGCATCAACCGCCGCTGCAACACTTGATGATGCAGCCCTTCCCGGGACCGGTTAGGAATTAAAAGGGTGAAGGCGGTGGTCAGACTGTATCTCTGCTTGTGGTGATGCGAATGAGGGAGAGGAATCGGTGGGCGTCTCTTCTCTCCAGGCTTCCTGCGGGCCATAGTGATGTATTTCAGCCATTTGCATATTATGTGCACCTTCACTGATACGTGTCAGCCGCCGAAGTCCGTCAATGAACGCGTCTTCGGGGAGTTGAGGGTTATGTATGTATGACGGACCTTCGCGCAGCTTCTGATGTGTGTTGCAAGTAATTTTTTTGGGGATGGTGGGGGCCTCTTTGATCGAGACTGTATTCCTTCATGATGACATGATCTCAGTAAGGAATGTGTGACACTGAGCTCTTTCAGAAAGAGCGCTTGCAAGGACGCAATGGAGGAAAACTTCGGGTGAGATCCGAGCTGAGCAACGCTTTTGCATTCGTGTGAGAGACGCGTGCGCGGACTCGTTGTGGATTTGGAGGCCCAAAGAGGCATCCGTCGACGACCTTGGATCGCAAATCGACGAAAGTCCACAGCGACCGCTGAAAATGTGTGTTTTGCAAGTTTCCGGAGCACTTAAAGATGGTTGTACTCAATAATAGATTGCGAGCCTTGTAGCCCTCCTATCGTCATGCGCGTACCGCCCACTGCCAATATGCATGTCTTGTCGTAGGATACAGTAAGCACAGTGTACAATCAGCATCCCGGGTATTACAAGGACGTGAGCAGCCATTCTGCTGTTGGACTTGATAAGAGAGGGGCAGAAATCAACGCATTACAAGGAACAAATACAGGCAGATTGGGGTGAAATGGGGTTCAATAGAGTTCGGGGCACAAAAGGAGTACGATTTGACTATAAAAGTGACAGAGGAGAATTGATATGTTGGAACAATAAATTAATCAAAGAGAGGTCAGAAATGATGAAAATGAGCATTTCCAAGGCATTGGATAGGAATATCTTAAGCCTTACTAGAGAGGCTGACATTGGTGAATGTTAATTTTATGATTAACACACATTAGGATCTATCGTGGTTAAAGAAAGTAGGAGTAGCAAAGTCAGGCGGACTGGGAAAGGCCGCGTCGAATACTTCCCTCCGAGTGAGAGACAAATCTGAAAGAATGAACTATGTGAGAGTTCCAAATCCAATCTCTCTATCTCCTGTATTTTCTTACTTTTTCCACCCGTTTGTTTCTTTAAATACAGTCGATGCTGACACATTCCCCCTAACGCCCACTTCAGCTTTTTGCCGACCAAATGTCTCCCCCCGCAGTCCATGCTTACTCTTTGTGGTACCCGCTCCCTCTCTTTATCTCCGAGGCCCTGTAAATCTGCTCGGCAAGGAGAACACGGGCCCACTGGTGCGTAAACGTCAAACGCGAAAGGCTCCAAAGCTCCTTGCTGGCCCGCAACCGAGGCGGTAAGCCCTCCGCTCCTCCTATGACGAGAGACAGGCGCGCCCCGCCTGTGCAGCCACGGGAAAGAAACGTACTTCATGATCAGATTTAAGAAGGATTTTTCAGGACAAAAGAGCTTTTAAAACAATTCTCACCTTCTTCTAGACGCTTGTAGAGGATATCCGCAAGTTCCATGGACGATAGTTGCTTTCCTCCCTCGTCCAAACAAATTACAGGAGCTTTCTCCTTTGCGATTGCTGCTTCAAGCTCCGAGTCAGTCTTGTGCCATACAGTCGTGAGGCCTAAGACGGGTCGTAAGCGCTTGGTGTACTCAAGGTAGGCGTCGTTCAAGAACTCTTCCCCCCCCGAGCGCTTCCCTCGGATGTGGATGGTAACTTGCAAGCCGCACGCAGGGGTGACCCGGAACGCGTGTGTAAAGGTAGGGCTGCGAACCAGCCGGCGACAATACCGCGTATGTGAAAATGCAAAGAACATGTTACTTTGCACGAAGTTCAAGAAAAAAAGGACGCTGAACGCTGTCCAAAACCTGATAAGGGAGGAAGGTAATACAGACATCATATAGGAGTGCTCGCTGCCACACTTACAACCTCGTCCTCACTGGTGCAACATTAGACACCTTGTAACACAGACGACCAAGCACATAATTATTTCCTTCACAAGCTTGTAGATCTTTCCTCGAAAAATAATATTTAAACACCATATAGCTTTGGCACGTACCGTATTCTGATAGTTTCCATCCTGCTTGTTCCTCGCCCATTGGTCAGTTCCTCGATGCGGGCCATATGCGAGTCCAAGTCATATAGCAACTAAGCATATTGCTCCTTGGTACAGTAAGACGATGCCTGAGATGATGTTTAATCGGCCACATAAGCCCCGCGTGGGACATTTTTCCCATAAAGAGAAAGGGGGCGGGTTGAAGATACTAGATGGCTCCTCGCTGCCTCCCTGGTGATGCCGTCATTGATCAGGGGGATTTCGCAAGGGAAATACATCCATTAATAATCCAGGAAACGTACTGCAGCGCAAATCTCAGGTGGCAAGATATTACGAGAAAGCATTTGCTGGGAATAATTCATAGTCATGCTCACTTAGCATTTCCCATTTTTGTGCTTTTCCTGCTCACTGCGCTACCCTACTTTACAGCACACATAATTAATTCCTCCTCTCAGTGCCATGAAACCATCATCAAGAAGAAAACAGCCAGCTCGTGTAAGCGTATCTATACCACGAGTCCCCTTCTTTTCTGCCGCCATCGCGTATGTCGTGGTCCTCTGCATACCGGAGGCCGCCCCCTTTGTCGTTCCAAGGCCGGCTATCCCGCCACTACTCGTTCCGCAAGTCACACCTGTTCGTGTCACGCGTGCCTCCGCTTCCACGCCTTTCTCCTCGAGCATGCGGCGACAGGCGCACACGGTTTATTCCCCGCCCGGCTGGGACCGGGAAATGTATCGGCCCCCTGACGACGTGCTCTTCGAATGGCAAGAGCTGGTGTGCTGCCTCAAATTCATGGAGGAGAAGGAGGTTAACGCCGGAATGCTGGCACCAGAGACCCGGGACATGATGATTGAGTACGCCGACGCGCTTATAGCGGGGGGCTCGCCTGTCCGGACTCTGGAGGGGTTGGCTGAGGCGATGATGGGGAGGTGGAAGCTGGCCTTCACCACCGAGGAGAGGTATAAGATCCTGCCTCCCGGCACCCGGGTGTACTACCACATACACCGTGACGGCCGTCTGGAAAATGTCATGAAATTCAAAGACAAGTACTGGGACAGCCTAATCTCCTCGGCCACCTACAACCTGACGCCGCAGGGGCGCCTCCTCTTCGAGTTCTCCTCGAATCGGGTCCACATCAACAACCCCTTTCAGGCACGCGCGCAATGGAAGATTCCTTTGCCTCCTAACGTCGGGAACACGGGCTCGGCCTTTGCGGACGTGAGCTACATGGACGGGGTCCTGTGGATCGAGAAGATCCGGGATCCTGGAACGGAGCAGGTCTTCGTGACCATCTACGAGTACCAGGGGCCGATCGAAGGGGAGGAGCGGACGCCTTCGCCCTCCCTCTCCCTTTCCTCCCCGCCTTCCTCGTCCTCTGCGTCCTCCGCCGGCTCTCTAATAGCCTTTCTGGAGGGTCTGGAGAAGGAAGAGCAGGAGGAGCTCGCCGAGGAGAGGCGGAACGAGGGGGAGAGGGAGGGGGAGACCTCTCCTCCTCCCGCTGACCCCTCGGCCTCTGGCGACCCTAGTGTGGCTCCCTCCTCCCCCCCTCCCTCCCCCTCCTCTTCTTCCTCCTCCCCTTCCTCCCGAGTGTCTGCTTGATGAGGGGGAGGGAGAAAGGACCTCTGCCAAGGGCCTGAGAGGGCGTGAGGGTAGGGTGCGACGGACGGAGAGAGCGGGCGACTTAAATGCAAGCGAACACGAAGAAGGCAAATCAAAGAAAGAGGAAACGCACAACGTACGAGGAGGAACTTCTCTGTATGATTAGAAGGTCTTGCTCTCACCCCCTGCATCCCTCAATTCGCCGTCCCACCGGGGCATCCCCCCCCCCGCCCTTCCCCCACACCCGCCAGCCCACCGCCTGCATGATCTGTGCTTTTGTCTCAGTAGCCTATCCCGCATGCCTTCGAGTCCTGCCCCGCCGATACCATCTTGGATCCTGTCTTCCGGCCCATGCGGGAACGAGGGGGGTGAGGACGGCTAGGGTGCCTGCTCTTGTCGATGCTGTTGTTGTTGTTGCTGTTGCTGCTGCTGCTGCTGCTGTCGGTGGTGTTGTTGCTGCTGTTGGGGGTGATGATTGTGTTGAACAAAGAGGCCGTTGTGCGGTACCGGCATATAGTTGGAGGGACCGGGCGGCTGGTAGGGATGCTGGACTTGAAAGGCGGCCTCTTGGGGCGCCATCGCCGCATATTGCGCTGACGGTGACTGGTGAGGATGGTGGGGTGGCAGGTGCTGCTGCAAATGCCAGCTAGCCTGCTGCCCGTGGCTGACAGGAGGGGGGTAGGGAGGGGCGTGGCCAGCCGGGCTGCCCGGATACGGCAAGCTCCCACCCCTCCGAGGCCGAAACGCCCCGTCCGCGCCCCACCCATGTCTTGAGGCGCCAGGACTGCCCGCAGTGCGGGGCGGTGGCGGCGGTGAGGGCTGGGCAGGGTAGGAATAGAGGGGGATGGGGGGGAAGGAGGCCGAGGGAGGTTGCTGGGGGTGTCTCGGACGGGGAGATGGGCGGAGGGGCGGTTGGAAGGAGTGAGGGAGGGACGAGTCCAGGAAGAGGGGCGGGGCTGGCGAAGGAGGGCTGGGGGCGGGATGAGACTGCCCGAGCGAGGAGCC